GTCTCCCCAGGATACAGTTGTAGAGGGACGGGCAGTCGATGACGAGGAAGTGCACTTTAAGTTGCCTCGTCGCCGTGCCCTCACCGAAGGTTACCATGAGCTCGACATATCCCCAGGGCTTGGAGGTCGAGCCGTTGAAGCCCTGTAAGTCCGATCCTACGTACGGCGAGAGATGTCAGTCGTCCAGCTGTAGAGTCCGGAACAACTGACTGTACATCATGTCGACGAAATTTCCTTCGCCGACGAGGATGCGATGCACATCAAAGTTAGCCATTCTTGCTCTTATCAGCAGAGGAATGACTGCGTTGGGGGCTCCCATGGGGAGCTCTTCCAGGTAAAAGGTGATAGGCTCAGACCTACCTTTTACCCTTTCAAAGGTCACTGTTTACAGAGGTGCCGAGTCGACCAGTTTGTCCAGATTTCTTTTAGCCGAATTGATATTTAGGTAATTGAATCCTCCACCATTGATGACCATGGCGGAGGGAAAGTTTTCCCACCTACTGTGCGTCGTGAGCGGCTCCTGCAGGTGCTCAGGGACGTAAAAGTCCTAGGGTCTGGTGATGGAGAAGGCGGTCTGGACGGGGACTGACTCGTCAGATGGTCGGGCGTCTTCCACCGATTCTCTTGCCTCCCGGGAGTCACGACGCGGAGCGTCGTTTCTCCGGTATTGGGCGAGCCTCCCTCCCTTAATGAGGGTTTCGATGGCGTTCTTGAGGTGGACGCAATCTTCAGTCAGATGACCATGGCTCCTGTGGTACTGACAATACTTGCTCTTGTCTGCTTCGGGCTTGGTGGGAGCAGGTCGGGGGCGTTTGACGTCGCCGTCTTTAAAGTCCGTGCTGGCACACTCCGCCAAAATGCGCTCGCGGGAAGCTGTGAGCGGAGTGTATTCGGTAAAACGCCCCGAGGGTCCTCTTTGCTCTCGGACTTCTCGGGGTCTGTCCTCTTTTCTTTTCTCCCCGGTTCGTCGGGGAGGAGCAGCTTCCTGGCGTGGGTTGCTGCTGGATCCGCGAGTCCTAGGGTCCCGGGCTCTATTGGCCGCCTCCCTTTCCTCGTAATCCATATACGCCCGGGCCTTCTCGAGGAGGGCATCGAATGTTCTAGGTGGCTCGATGCCCACTGCCTTTCTGAACTCTGTGCCGGGGAGGAGCCCCCTCTCCAGCAAGTATCTTTTCATGTGGTCCGCACAGGGGACCTGTATGGCTTCGCGATTGAAGCGATTAATAAACTTTCTCAAGGTTTCATCCTGTCTCTGGATGATGGCCTCGAGAGTCGCCTCGGTCTTTAGGTGTCGCTGAGACGCAGTGAACGAACTTATGAATTGGTTCTTCAAGTTTCGCCACGAGGTGATTGATCCCGGAGCGAGGCCTTTATACCAATCCATTGCTGCCTTTCTGAGGGTCGTGGGAAACAGCCGACATTTGATGGGTCCCTCGACATTGTGGTAGTGCAACATAGCCTCGAACCCGTCTATGTGGTCGACCGGGTCCGCGACTCCGTCGTATTCCTTTAGAAGTGGAGGCTTCTCCATGCCCGGGGGAATGGGCGCCTCCAAGATGGCTTGTGACAGGGGACCGCGGGGGTCGTCCTCGTCACTTCGCTTCGGGGACAGGGATGGGGACCTGTAATATTGTCGTGCCCAGCGGTCCTAGTCGTGTTGGGCATCTCTCGAGCATGGTGCTCGTTGGTCAATTCTTCCATGCCTGTCTCCAGAGTGTCTTCTCTCTGGTCGTGAGGGGGCGTGGCCGCTCCCTCCGACCTCAATGACGGGTTGCCTCTCCAAAGGGGGTCGTCTCCCCGAGGGTCGAGGGGACGGGATTCAGGAGGCGTCTCTGCATTGTCTCTGCGGGGGAGACGGGAGATGTACTTCTGTTACTCGACGAGGTGGAGTCTGGGGCCTCCTGTGCCTCCTCGCGGGTCTTCGATCGTCTTCTAGTGCCCTCAATCTTTCCCCTTGGGCGAAGATGAGATAATTCGTCTGATTGATCACCACGAATAGCGCGCGGCTTGTGGCATCCGCCCCGACGGGGACAAGGACTTCTTGAAATTGGGCAGCTCGATAGTTTGTGGGAGCTGCATTGTCTTCTTCGAGCGGCGGAGGGACTGAGGAGGATGAGGCAGTAGTTCCGTCGTGGTGGATTGAGGGCCCGGGAGCAGTTCCCCCGGGGAGTGTGTTATGACCGGGGTTACCGGTGTTGTCGGTGAGTCCATTCTTATCGGCGAGGCCGTTGTTGGTATCGACGACGCAGATGTTTTGGTCATCACAAACTTGGTCAACCATGACGGTAGTAAGTGATTTGAGCTTTGGTCTTCGAGGTTTTGCAAGACGGGGAAGCTAGTTTCCCACATACGGCACCACTGATCTTACCTGATCAGACTTGGACCGTCACGACTGGCTCCGAGCGGAAGTTGAGCGAGATGGGGGGGGATACCTGCAAAGCACTCCGATGCTAAAATGAGTGATGGTACGAGCAGGCAAAAATTGTATGTATGGGTAAGAGAATGAATACCTGACCCTCTAGGAACATAGGGTATTTATAGCCCCCAGCGCGGGGCCAAGGTCCCTTTATTGGGCCGACCAGAACTGGCCCAATAAAGGAACTGCCAGGTTTTACGTGTGTAGTGAGGACCCGCACGTGGTCTCCTTCCTGGTGATGCTCTGCGAGAAATGAGGAGGGACGAAGACGCGGTCTTTCCGGAGTTCAGGTGGTTTGGTAACGGTCAGAATCTGCCCTACGAGGAGGGTGCTCGAGCTGGGCTCGAGCTGGAGTTTCCGTGGTCGGGGACACCATGTTCGCGGGCAACGGCGGGCACGACTGCAGTCTGTGGTCGGGCGCGCTGGCGGGAATCCTCGGGCGCGTGCTCCTTGAAGAGTTGCCTGGATTGGGCCTTCGTTCCTGCTCTTGGGCCAGGGCGGCCCCAGTCCAGAACAATTCTAAACTGGTTGATTGAGACTAATTAGGAAACTTTGTATTGGTTGTTCCAAGATTTAAGGAGATTTTACTGTACAACAGATACATCTCTTAACTTGTGGATCAAGAAATTTTTGGACTCAGAATATCGAAACACGTGGATTGAAGAAGTGTATTTAAAGAAGACCTAACCTAATGTATCATTAATCTTTCAATAATTATAAAATTGGGGGAAGAAAATAGTCTTAGGTTTTGAGAGTCTCTTGTGTATTGTGTAGGTGTCTGTCACCCTTGTATCACATGATACATGTGGTTGACTTATTGTTCTCACTCAGAAGTCTTTAAGCAATGAGTTGAGTATTGTTTTTGGAGAAATTTTTTAAGCAACTCTAAGTATTGTTCTTGGTCAAGAGTATTGACTAAGTATTTGATTTGGAAGTGTATTCTTCCTATTTTTATTGTTCAAGTTGCTGTGACTGTGACCTGTTTTTAGATTGCCTTGTTACTGGGATATGTCTTTTATCACTGCGATGGTTGGAAGTGAGATGTCAATTTCTCATGCCTAGGGAGGATCTAGGTAGAAGTAGCATTGGGTAGGGATTATGTGATAAGTTATAAAACTTGGAGATTAATTTAGCTTTGAACTAATACTGTTTATAATGGATTTCCTTCCTGGTTTGATAGCCTTCAGAGTAGGTGAGTTAGCACCAAACTGGATTAACATATCGATGTGTTCTTTATTTTTCTGCAAGTTAAATTTCTATTATAAATTTGTTCAAGATGTCAAATTAGATGTTGTAACATCTGTCTTGATATTGTTCTGATGTTGAAATTTAAATATTTCTGTGTTGTCTATACCAGAAAATTTCACTAATCACTCCAATGTTCATTTTCTAGTTTTTTATTTTATTTTATAAACTCGCATTTATATAATTGTAGTATATTCCCAAACAACTTTCAAGTGAACTATCTTAACGATACTCCAAAAATTATTAAATCCAAACACATGATAAATAAACTTTCATTATATCCACTCAATTAGTATAACACGATTCTATTCTAAATCATTAATAATGAGATCAATTACTCCCTCCATCCCTAAATAATTATCATAGTTCATCATTTCACACAAATTAAAAAAATATGATAAATGAAAGAGAGAAAACAATATTTTTACAAAACTATCATTATTTATTATTATTGGTGTATTCGAATGATCATAAATGCAGAGTGAGAGAATAATAAATTGAGAGTATTAATTTAAGGGCATAATTAGAAGATAAAAAATAAAATTGGATTATAAACTAAACGCGGCACTTATTTTAGGACAAATAATTTTATTAAATACGACACTTATTTTGAAACAGAGAGAGTAATATTTAATTTTTTTTATTAAAGAGAGGGCTAAACGCTCCCACAAAAACAAACAACAAAGAAACAACTCTAGGAATACTTAAACTATTCTCATCCACTCGAAGAATATGCTCAAAAGCATCTAGACATTCCACGAACAAACTATATTTATCCTTTAAGGAGAAATTATAATTGGTTAATGCATTAGTAAGTTGATTTGCTTTCGTGTGCACATGCGTGATTACCACCTCGCAATCAAGATCCCTCAAATTAATGATCTTAGACACTAAATTGTTCTCATTATGATAGTATTCCGCTTCCCTTTAACATTTTGTACCTATCATTGAATCTACACGAATTTCAACCTTATTATGTGTCTTAATAGAACATATTAAGAAAGTTTGTCTTAAATAAAATAAAAAATAAAATTAGAAAGTTATGTATGTAAAACATTTGCTGATGGAAACAAAAATATTTATTTGTCGATGGAAACAAATAAAACCTTATTCAATTAATTAATATTTAAATTTAAAATATTTGTAAATTTTACAAACCCATTGAGCAAGAAAACAATACAAAACAAGCAAAAGCCCATTGCTCATTTCCAAACCTCAAAGTGTGAAGACCGGAGAGCACAGACAACCCACAATCTGTTCTCTCTTCCTTTTTCCGCCTTTTCTTCAATTTCTCAATCCTCCGCCATTTTTATGCAGTGATAATCAAATCGAATCCAAAATGTTTCTCACAAGGTAAAACCCTTTCTTTTCGCTCTCTTTTATCGCACAATTTTTTTCATTTCAGGGTTTCTCTATCTTGCTAGATTTCAATTTCATAGATAATCCATGTTCGCCCAAATGTATTAGGGTTTCATTTCTAGGTCTAATTTATTGATATTTTCTGAACGAATTAGGACTGAGTATGACCGAGGAGTCAACACTTTTTCTCCTGAAGGCCGTTTGTTTCAGGTTGAATATGCAATCGAAGCCATCAAGGTATGCTGTTTGTTTTTCCCCGATACTGCCTTTCTCTTTTAGGGTTTATAGGAAATGGTTTGTTCTAGTGTTTGTGTTTTTAATGGGTTTTACTTGATTGCAGCTTGGGTCGACTGCAATCGGTTTGAAGACGAAAGAGGGTGTTGTCCTTGCAGTTGAAAAGCGTATTACTTCCCCTCTACTGGTCTGTTCTTGTTCCTTTTATTTAATTTTTTGATTAATTTAGTAGGAATTTTATCATTTTATTGTGTAATTACTATTAGCAGTTATGTTCCATGTGGGATTGTCATTGTCAAGTAAGAAAGATGTGGCTGCAATAAATTTCTAGATGCACTTGCGAATTTTGATTGTTGACGTTGTTTCTTGTGAGATTTGGTAGATTAATTTAGTGTAAATTCTGCTTTCAGGAGCCTAGCAGCGTTGAAAAAATTATGGAAATTGATGACCATATTGGTTGTGCAATGAGTGGATTGATTGCTGATGCTCGTACACTTGTTGAGCATGCACGAGTTGAAACTCAGGTACTGTTTGTTATCTTTGTATGATATTGAAGGTAGTTGATTGGTTGGCAATTGATGTATTTTGGTTTGTTGTTCATAGAATCATAGGTTCTCTTACGGTGAACCCATGACTGTAGAGTCCACAACTCAAGCTCTTTGTGACCTAGCTCTGCGTTTCGGTGAAGGCGATGAAGAATCAATGGTACATAGCTTCTTAGTTTTTTTTTTTGTGTTTCTTTTGGTTTGCTTGCTTACAGTCTTTAATGCTCAAAACTTGTGAACTTTCCTGATTCCTTTTTGTTTACAAATTTGTTAGAAATACCAATGCTCTGCGGGTTGCATTTTTTGAATGTTTAATGGAGATATAAACAGAATTCTTGTTATTATATTATATTTTGAGATGCATAAATATCCTAAATTTACTTCTATTGTGAAATATATTACATTCCTATTAAAGGAGCAAGTACCTGTCCTTATGTAAGGTGTCATGGGCCAGGAAGCTTTTTCTTTTGTATAAGATGCTTATTTGCGGTGATACTGGACACCATTTTGTATCCTTGATAACGCCATTTCTTTTTCTCTGACAGTCTCGACCATTTGGAGTGTCTCTCCTCATTGCTGGCCATGACGAGAATGGACCTAGCTTGTAAGTATTTTTTTTCCATCTAAGCAATGGTTACATGTGGATCCTGTGATGGACTTGTCCTTTTGGCTCATTTTCTGTGTTTGTCTGAATCTATGATATCGGTAATCTTTTTTTGAGTTGATGTTGTTGCTCCTTATATGTTAGACTTACTTTTCTGGGGATCTGTGAAAGGACTTGTGGTGAATTTTTTTTCAAGCACAATTACACTTTCTCTGGTTATTCATACGCAAAGAGTGGCTAACGCGTAGCAGTTATCAAATTGATATTTTGATGCGATTCATGTGATTCTAACGACTTCTCTTTGATGTTGAATCATTTCCAAACTGGACATATTTGCCAAGAATTATTTTCCTGCAGTGTTCACTTTTTTGTTTCACTCTGTTCCTTGAAAGTAACATATGACCTTTGCTCATCACTTCTTCCTTTCTTTTATATTTCTTTTTTCCTTTCTCAAAATAGTTGTGAAGATCATTGCAATTATTTCGTAGTCATGTGGTCCTTTATTTTTTCTTATCAATTACTTAATGGTTTCAAGAGAAAGATGCTATAGTTTCCGGAATACACCTCCTACTCTTACCATTCGTTTGTAAGCAAATACATTTTTTTTTTTGGGTGGTTCGGCTGTCTACTCTGCACGTTCAACTATAGGAGCAACATATATTCTGATCTTTTAGTTTCTTCCGTAAAACCAGTTCATGGTAGCAATTTAGCACCTTTTGAACCATAAGGGGAAACAATTGGGGGTAGTTCGTATCTTACCTCCCTATAAGCTCTTGAGATTAACCCTAAACTGTAAGCAATTTTCATATTCATGCCCATCAACACATACTAGTGCAGATCATTGTTAAAACAGAAAATAAATGCAGTCTGGGTATTTTGTTTTTGTAGGCAGAGGCTCTATTACTTGTCTCACTAGATGATACAGTTTGGTTGTTTTTACATTCCGGTCTTGTTTTTACTGAATGCAAATGTTGTGATTTGCAGATATTATACTGATCCTTCTGGCACATTCTGGCAATGCAACGCAAAAGCTATTGGTTCAGGATCAGAAGGTGCTGACAGTTCTCTGCAAGAACAATACAACAAGGTAATCGTTGTTCTTAATGTCGGTTGTTTCTTAATCTTTCAATCTGCTCGTAGCATTAAAATTGTTAGTTGGGATTGAAATGTGGAAAAGGGAGTGAACACACGGAATTAACACACGGTTAACACCAAAAGGGATAGATTATTATTATTTTAAATAAAATATTTTTTTGATGAAGAACTCCTTGTTGGTCATTACTCTTCATCTGTACTCCAGCCACCCCCTCCCCTCCCCGACACCTTGCAGCAGCTACAGGTTAATAAGAGTACAGCCATATGAATGCTAACACTAACAAGAGATTCACTGAATACAATAACAACAAATCCTTGCCCCCAAATCTGAATTCATTAGTAAAATTGTAAAAACACAAAAGTTTGGGAAAATAAAGTCAATAAAAAGAACAGAAAACTAAAATGAAAGGTGGTTGATACAAATGTGTTGGGAAGATAAGATTGGCAGAGATGCTTAGTGCTGGGCTGTGTGGATGGTCATCGTGGCAGAGAAGGAATGGAGATGATGGGTTGAATGGGTTATGGAGTAAAGCATTTCAGCCACATTTTATTTTTAAGAGGTTTACATTGATTTACAAATATTCATTAAACAACTGTTGGATTTTTATTTTTGCATGTTCCTCTCAGGGCTGAGTTCCTCTCCATTTCTAAAAAAATGGAGGGCTCCATTATGGAGAGAGAACAAAGATTAAGAAAAGTTCAAAAGAATTAAATGATGAAAAAGATTTGACAAACCATCTCTCTTCTCACTCCAAATATATCCTTCAATTTATTTTGAGAAATAGATTCAATTTGGGATTCTTTCCATTTTTCAAAAGAAATAGATTGTTCCATTTGGAGAGATAGAACAAAAAGTAGATAGTGGGTTATATCACCAAGTGGGTCCGAGCATCATTAAACATAATTTAAAAATCAAATTTATTTATGTAAACCTCTTTCCAAGAGGAGCCTTCCATTTTTTTGAGAAATGAAGAGGATCATAACTCACTCCATACACAAATAAATTCAGATGTCCATCCACACGCAGAAAGGATCCAGACCCTGGAAATGAGGAGTGCTGTTATCCAGCATGAATGGCAGGATAGATTGAGAAGAGAGAACATTTTTATATTGACTACCTTAGTGATGTTACGCATAACTTGTATATTTATATAGTTGCAATAAATTTTTCTACAAGATTAACTTGATTTTCACTCTGTTATTCGTACCCTGGAAATAAGGAGTGCTGTTATCCAGCATGAATGGCAGGATAGATTCAGAATAAAGAGGACACTTTTATGTTAATTACCTCAATGCTGTTACAAATAACTTGTATATTTATCTGAAGTTGCAATAAATTTTTATGTAAAGATTAACTTGATTTTCATTTAGTTCAAGACCAAATAAAACAAATCTTGTTAATGATAAGATATGTTTAAACAGTAAAAAAAAAGCTATTAGAAAAGAAAATCTTATTTTATTGCATCTCTGTTGTTTCAAGCAAGTATGCCATTGTATATACTTCCAATTTTTTTGGGCTTTCCCATTCAACTCAAATTGATATTTATCCAAGTATATGTCCATTGCTTGTGTTTGTCTGGAAAATGTTGAACTAGTTTAAGTGTTTTATAATATCAAAATTTCAGCTGTCAAATTAATTTAACACCATTCATGTCAATATATAGAGTCCCTTAATAACAACTGTATTGGAATTTCTGTTCATGGGCTGGCAACATTTTGCTGAAAGATTATCTTTCAGTATAGAGGCACCAAGATGACATGAAAACAAGCTGAGTTTGGTGTTGATTTATTATGTTGTGCAGGACTTGTCTCTTCAAGAAGCTGAGACTATTGCTTTATCCATTCTGAAGCAAGTTATGGAAGAGAAGGTAAAGTTAAAACTAAACGCATGTACTTGCAGTTGTTTGTCTCCCTTTACTAAAATGGAATGGAGGATAAAATATAACTTGTTTCCTCTCTGTACTTTTCACATCAGGTTACTCCCAACAACGTTGACATTGCCAGGGTGGCTCCAGCATATCATCTTTATACCCCTTCTGAAGTGGAAGCTGTGATAAGTCGCTTATGATTTTCATCCATTTGCGTGATTTGTTTCGTGCCTTTGTTCCTGTGCATGGAGATTTTATTGGTACACGATGTTGCTTGTAATGCTGCCATTATGACCAAGTTTAGTACGCCACACTAGATTCTCATGTCTTATTTGCTGCAATTCAGTCTAGTTGAAATTGAGGACAAAAAGGATATTTCAATGTTAGGGAAAATACAGTACATTAACTAGAACCATTCACAAGATCCCTGCTATCAAACATTTTTACTTTATGAGATGAGATGAGATGCTACTACATACGATGATAGAGGTGTTTACAAAACTTTCATATGGATAATTTCAATGGAAAATTCTACGGTGCAGTTAATAAAATGACTTCTTTGAAGTCACTAATTTGGCCAATGAGAAACAAACCCTAATTTAATCAGTGCCACGTGCCACATAGATTATATTGTACATACTATTTACTTTGTATTATATTGTAATTAAGTCTATCAAATTAAAAATAACAAAATTAATAATTTTAATTGTTAAATTGAAAATCAATAATTTTAATTATTAAATTAAAAATCAATTAAAAGTGCCGAAATTCTTTGGACGATCACAACTTCATTTTTCTCAATGAATTTTCATCTTTCTCTTTTCTCTTGTGCAAATTTCATATAACTCTTTTCATATTCAATCAGTCATTGTTGAACAAATTTATGTTGTCACATTTCTATTTGTGCTCAGTTCATACATAACTTTATGTTCGTCCGTCTTTGTTGAACAAATTAATCTCTGTTATTCTTCATACCACAACATTCAATCGATCATAAAACAAAATACCACCAAAAATTACAAATCGCAGTGAGAACAGGGTTGTTAAGGCAAATATGTAGAACTGGGCTTTTTCGGTCATCAAACAAAACACCATAAAAAAGCGTAATTTGTTTGTGTTCGTATTGAGAACAGAGTTGCTAAGGTAAATACAAAAATGTTTGTTATATTTATTTGAAATTAGTTACTTAAGATTTAATGATATCAAATTGGGGTATTACATTTGATTTTAATTTGGAAATTAGGGTTTATGTTTGACTTTGTTTTCTGTAGATGGGTATTTCAATTTGGGAATTAGAGATTATGCCTGAATTTGTTTTCTGTATGTGTTTCAAATTTAATGATTTCGATTTTGAATTTTCTTAGTTACATTTGATTTTAATTATGGAATTAGGGTATTGTGATTGATGTTGAGTTTTGTTGTGTTAAAAGTTATTTTAAGTCAGATTTACGACAGTAAACTCAGATGATTCATTTGAGGTTGATTCCAATGAAGTTCATTCCACGGACGATGATACACCCGAGGTTGAATTGAATGATGATGAGGGCGACAATTATCAAAGCTCAGATGACGATGTTGACGATGTTGATAATAACGACGAAGATGATTCAATTGAGTTAGATGCAGTTGTAGGCGATAAAGTGGTAAGTATTAATGCCATGACTTCTGATGAAATTCGTGCTATGGAATTCAGTTCTGTTAATGAATCTTATGATTTTTATTATAAGTATGGTAAATGCAAATGTTTCTCCATTAGGAAAAGTGATATTAGGAGAAGATGGCCTGAAGGTAGTAAAATAACAGTAATGAGGTATTTTTTTTTGTAAGCAAATGAAACTAAAGGACACTAGGGGTGCTTTAACCCGATTGGAAAAGAGAAGACCTGGCTAACCGAAAACAAAACTTCCTAACCAACAAACCCTTTAGCATTAAGAAAAATGATTCTTACAAAAAGCATACAAGCTAGAGTTTGTATGAGAAGTCTTACCTATCACCGACCACTTCCAAAGAACAATCTTAATCGATCAAACTAAATCTGACACATTAGCTTTTTTATTTTTAAAAATGACCGAATTTCTATGAAGCCAAATACTCCAAATAACCTCCATCCAAACGCTTCCAACAAAACATTTCGTGTTGCAATTGTTCCCCGTAACGGATTAACAAGAGATAAAACTCTTGTTACAGGAAGTTCCAAACCACATGTTTATGCCCAACCACTTTTCTACCTCCAACCACACCTTCTTGGCGAAATCACAATAAATAAAAAGATGATCCTGGTTCTCCGCCATGTTGTTGTAGAAGACGCAATCTAAAGAAAAAGGGTCAGATATGATACCTCTTATCCTTCGTCGATATTCGGTGATGGAAAGATTTCCAACCGAAGGCTTTGATTATGAACAAAAATTTTAAATTCCACATTAAGTTGCAGGCGGAAACCAACTCCACATTGCTATTTGAAACAAAAATGTTTTTCGACATACAAGCATAACCAGATTTGACGCTATAGCCTCTCCCCGGACCCGGCAGCGGTAACACCCAATTTCCCCATCGATAACTTAACCAAAAATCAGAGTAAATTAATTCATAAAATAAAACATCAAAAATAGGATGTCACATCTTCATACATACACACATGCTCATATAATAAGATACGAAACACATAATCACATGTTCACCAAGTTTGAACTTCATTTCATTTATTCGCAGCGGAAAATATCAACAACAATTATTCTTAACTCCTTAGCATGCGTTATAATTATTATAATTAAAACTTTAACATGCATCATCAAATAAATCCAACAAATTGGTGTTCTACAATAGTTTACTCCCATCATAATAAAACAAACGCAAAACTCTCAAGTGTTACGTATTAGAGCTAACACTGACTCAATCTATGTAAAATGAGTCACTTCTCAATGAACCTCTACCTCAAGCTACTTCGGATCATATGCATGTTACCCACATAGAGGCAACATTCAAACAGAAGGGGTGAGATATCATAACGATATAAAAGAAAATATAATAATGAGTAGATAGAAATTTAAGTACGCATATTTATACTTCTTTACCTCACAACTTTACTTCATCCATCACAACACAAAGTATATCAACATATAAGCAATATAACACATGATACTCATCATAATATAAATAATATAATTTCATCATCAAACATCAAGTTATCAATCATAATATAATGCAATGAGACCGACACTAACTAAATGCATGTGGTACCGATATGGTAGAACCCTCATCGTAATAACTCCAACTTAGGGAAACAACATCATAACGCTAATACAAGCCATCTTTCGCCCATACAAGTCATCTTTCGCCATACAGACCATCTTTCGCCAATACAGACTATCTTTTCATGAATGCATGCGACACCGACATGCAACAACTTAACTTACATTGATATTAGTAATCATCGATGCCACGCCAATACATGGCATAATCATCATCATCATGAAATACATCATACAAAATAATCGAACCATTCATACAACATCATATTGCTCAATCGCAACATAATTCATAGCAAACTGCTCAAAAATATATACAGATAAGTATCAATGTTGGTCAAATAATTAGCTATTGTGTTCCCATTTATTTTTATAGGATAGAAAAATAATTTTAGCTTTCCAATGGTCCAAATGACGTGTCAAACGGACACCGAAGGTGAAAGTTACGCAATTTACAATTTTTTTTTAAAATCTGACATTTCAGTGGTAACCGGTTACTGCCAGGAGGGTAACCGGTTACACCCCTCTGATTCAGAATTACAATGCTATTGTCCAGTTGTGTAACCAATTACAACCTATGCCGCACCCGGGTACACGTTCATATTTTTTCCTAGTTTGCCCAAAATTGCACAGGATAACCGGTTATCCTCTATGCCGCACCCGATTACACCTACTGCAGAGTTCAAAAATCTATAAGTTTGCAGGTTACGAAAATCCATGTTTTAAAACCCCAATATTTAACATTTTAATCAAAACAGTATTTTCTAATTACACTAATTACTCACCAACATTACATATCAATTCCATTCAATATTCATCATCAAATTTCAACAATAATACACAAAATGCATCAAAGAATTCATCAATGGGAAAAACCCCAATCAAGCAAAAATAGAGAGAATCAAGAATACAAACTTATGGGACCTAAACACTACCATACCCCATCATTATGAAACCCGTTATAATGTTAGAATCTCACCCCTACCTTGGATTTTGGTCGATTCTTGACTCATAGAGTGAACTTTCCTGCCCTAGCCTATTCCTCTTCTTCTCTCTTCTACGATCTTCTCTGTTCTTTTCCTACATTATTTTTTCCTCTTCTCTATTCTCACTCTATTTTATTCTAAGGACATCTAAATCATAATACCAACCTTGCCCTTCCCAATTAAATAAAATAATTATCTAAATAACCATAAAATAATAATTTCTATTATTCTACTAATAATATTATTCAATTATTATACTATAATATTAAAACTAATATTTTAATCCAAATAATGCTAATAACTAATTATCTCTCTACACCTCATGTTTCTACACTTTTGGTCATACACCCCCATTATCTCAACTCTAGTAATTCCTAAGGCCTCTAATTCCCAACAAAATGCATCACAAATACAACACATCATCTAGTTAATTTAAATAAAATAGTTCAACGGAATCAGGGTGTTACAACTCTCCCCCACTTAAAATATTTCCGTCCTCGAAAATTACCTGATGCGAATAAATCTAGATAAGCCTCTCGCATATTGCTCTCTAACTCCTACGTTGCATTCTCTCCAGCAGCTCCTTCCCAAACCAATTTCACAAGAGTTATCCCATACTTGTACATCATCCATCAGGATTACATGTGACGAATCTGAAATATATTTTCGGAGTTGCGACACATGGAACACATCATACAAATTTGACAGATAAGGTGGCAATTCCACTCTATATGTAAATCCCCATTTTTTCTGAAATTTAGTATGAACCAATAAACCGAGGAGTCAGCTTTCTTGACTTCAAAGCGCGACCTACACCGATTACTGGAGATACTCTCAAGAATATATGGTCTCCCTCTTGAAACTCAAGACCCTTCTTCCTCTTATCATGGTAACTCTTTTGCCTACTCTGCGAAGCCTTCATCTTTTATCGAATTAATTTCACTCTCTCCGTAGTTTCTCACAAAATTT